CACAAATAAATACTCTTGCCGGTGCAGCATCTGGTGTATTTGTTAGCATTCTTGTTAGTCCACTTGATGTTGTTAAAACGCGTATTCAAGTTAAACGTTTACCAAAAGGTGTACCTGATACACCATTCATACTTACAATGTATCGATTATGGCAACGAGAAGGTTTTCGAGCATTTTCCAAAGGTTTAGGAACAACAATGTTGGTATGATAATGATTTCTTTTATTGAAAATTATTATTTTATTCAAGTTCTAGGGTTATGTACCTAATTGGGCAATTTATTTCAGTGTATATCAATGGTCAAAAAAACAATATGCAAAAAGTTTAGCAACCATTCAATCTGAACATGACATGTTAATTAATTTACTTTCATCTGTTACTGCTGGTGCAATATCAAATACACTTATGGCACCAATATGGACTATTCGTACACGTATGATGACCCAATCAAATCATAACGATTATAGAAATTCATTTCATGCAGCAATAAAAATTTATAAAACAGAAGGACTTCGAGCATTATATCGTGGTGTTGTACCATCAATGTGGGGTTTGGTAAATTGATTTAATTTCTTACAGTATACAGACAACAAGTCTCATGAGTGACACAAGATCAACTTCGTAGGAGAAACAATCAGCTTTTGACTGAGTCTATTTTTTATGATATATATGGATGTTAGAGTATTAAATTGCCCGACAATGTATTATGAATTTCAAATTAACGTAATAAGTTTGTTTGTTTTTCAGAAATTTTTATAAATCTTCTTAAAAAGAAAAGTATACATGTCAAGGCTACTTTTATTGGTAACGACACATAAAAGAGGATTAGTCATTGATTTTCAACCATTTAATGTTGGTTAATTAGACACATTATTGACTGTGGCCCAACGGTAAACTTTGGAGACCGTTTACTATGACAAAAGAGAATTCAAATAATTAAAATGTCAATTATGTATTACTCGACTCCTTGAAGACAAGGTTACTGTTAAGAAAACAAAAGTTTTTGAGGATGTGATCAGTACAGATTTTCTCTTCAGCTGAACCCACATCTTCACAACAGGATCATCAGAGATATGCGCAAAGTAATTAGAAGTTGATTCGACACCAAACGTATATGTACGTCTGCCGTTCTCAATGAGTTACATAAAACCACAAGATTATGATTGAATCTTTCTATTTACACTACAAAATCGTATTGAAAATATATATATGTTGGATTAAGTAGTCTTACTCTAATGTAAACAGGAGACGTGGGAAGTCATAGGAAAGCAATAAGTTTCGATTGCTTCTCCACATTTTGCGTAGGAGAAGCAATTGCTACGTCTTGTAGTGTCTGACACATTGCTCATAAAAAAAAGTTATGAATTTATGCAAAAAACTTAATTTAACTATCATATTTTTTGAATTTAAATCAAAACTAAATTTATGGTTTTGTTTTATCAATATAGATCCATGTTGGTATTCAATTTCCATTGTATGAATATCTTAAAAAGAGATGTGCAGCTGGTTCATCTTCTGATAGTCATTTATCGATAAAACAACTAATGTTTGCATCCAGTCTTTCAAAATTAATAGCATCTTTCTCTGCATATCCACATGAAATAGTTCGTAGTCGTCTTCAAGATGCAGGTCATGCTCGACAGTTACAACAACAATCTTCAAATCCAAATGTAAAATTTCATGAATACCGAAATGTACGTGATGCAGTTAAAACAATTGTTAAAGAAGAAGGTATACGAGGATTTTATCGTGGTATTATACCTGCTCTACTACGAACAGTACCTGCAGCAACGTTAACATTATCATCATATGAAAAAATTAAAGATTTTCTAAGCGATAATTATGGTGAAGCATCGGTACCGAAATAGAGTATATTTTTCTTGTTTTTTTTACTTTGTATCTATTAACCTTGCTGAAGTGTGTTTTTTATTTAACTCAGCGTAGATGATAATATTGTTAAAAATTTTCTTTTAATACGAATTAATAAAAATAATTTCATCAACGTTTCTTCGTTAATCTTATTTTCAAATGCCAAGAAACCTGAATATGCCTGCCCATTACAATAGTTGAGTTAATTTTTCAATGATATAGATTTTGTAGAAGTCGTACGTTATGTTTTTCTTTGATTCGAAAAACCAATAAATAGATAGTAAAATTTTTATGGGTATAAACAACAAATTTCTAAATAAAGTCCTTGCGGTAAGTTCTAGGACAATCGAAAACAGTTTCTAAATATTTTATGTTTAGCGTTGTTATTAATCAAGCTTTTGTATGTTATTCAACAAAAAAAATATTTTTCTTTGATACAAACAAAATAGCATCATATCTAAAATTTCCAGCAGATAAAAATTTTTAGGCAGAGCTAACCTAGGGCAGTCAGCATGGTAGGAATGTCACGTTCTTTTTGAGAGAGTGCAAACATTTTTTCTTCTAAGAGAACACCAGAAAAATTATTCATGCTGCGGGATGTCACATACCCGACACCTCTTTCCCACTGGGTTAGACTATATCTTGCTCCGGAACATTTTTCGTTCTGTTCACGTATTAATTTTTCTTCGCTTTCAAATATGTAGTGCTATTAGAAAGACGAATCTTTGGGCTGAACAACGCTTGAGTTGTTAAAAATAACTACTGTGCAACAGGTGAAATCATGTGATCCTTTGCTCATTAGGAAGAGCAGAGTACATTCAACAAAAAAATGATGTTATAATAGTGAAAAAGAAACATCTATTTATTAACTTAAAAAGTAGCTTGGTATTTCAGATTTTCTATTTTTGTCATCTAGTAATAAATCATTTAATGTGTCAGAGAGTTCAAAAACATTTTTTTTTGTCGAATGCATTCTTCTGTTTGCGTTAAAAACCAATAATTTCTTTGCTCAATAAAATATGAAGACTTGGTCAGGAACACTGCCTAAAGTCAAAGTTTCCTTAATTGACAATTAAAATAGATTCTTCCATTTGTATTCTTTCCAAATTGGACTCTGATCAATCTTTCAATGAAGACCAATGTAGATAATAATTAAAGTTGAAGATATGTATAATGTTCGTGTTTTATGAGATAGATATCTAACTGTTATATTCGCTATTGTTGATACCACTTGTTCGTCATACTTTATTGTACGACTACTGAAAAAACCAGAAAGTGTCGAACTATTTGAGCTTTCAATATACTGTCAAGTGCGTAAACAACATCTGTATTCAGTGGCGAGTTTGGAAGTGGTAGTTGGTTTTGACTTCATCCAAACCGAGACTCAGATCCTAGTTTGCAAATGATGGCCCAATTCTAGAATAAACCTAATTCACAGAAAAGTTAGAACAAATTAATCTGAAACCTATTAAGATGAGACCCTTCAAACAAAGTAAAAATGATTGTATCTCCCATTTTGCACAAACAGTTTAAAGAATAATGACGTTGATTATTCATTCTTTTGCTACAGTTCTTGTTTTATAGTGATACGAAATATAATAACTATTCAGTTGGTATCATTGTCATCTTGTTTTCGTATTACGAGCAAACATAGTCTGTAGAAGAAAAAACAATAGTTAACATCATACCTAAAGTTCTCTGGAAGATTTCGAACATGGAGCAGGACGTGATAAACGAGACTCGAAACTCAGAAAAAGGGAGTCCCGCATGTCTCAAGTTATTACACTTAATTATACTTGTAAAATTTCAAATTCTAGAGTTCTCAAATGGAGTGAATGAGGGTCACCCAAATGTCTGATTTTTGGCCAATTGTCTGACAGCTTCCTAGTAATCTTAGAGAGAAACAAAATTTTAAAACAACATTTGCTTTTCTCTGCCAGAAAGTGGAATACAAATAAGGAGATAATGTCGTTACCAGATGAATAGAATTGAAAGAGAGACGGTCTGGTAGCAAATTGTGAGTTATAGGAGAAGGGTAACATTGGATTTCGCTCTTTGCCCATCATCCGCCCTCTCCAAACTAAATAAATATTAATGTATTTTATAATGTTTTACTTCTATAATCGTTATTTTATTATTAATAAGAGAAGACAGAAAAAGAAAAAAATAATAATAATAAATGAAATAATCCGAAAGAAAAAAAAGATCGATTACATATAAATACACACATGTAACACTGACTGTATCATACACACATAGAGAATAAGAAAATTATAATTGATATGGTGGTAATTGACCATTATTATTAGCCATTAATGCAGTTAGTACTTCACTTGGGTCTAATGTTGGTTCAATACCACTCGATCGTTTAGAATCATGTCTTATAACATCAAGTTTTTGTGAACGATGACGTATTTCATTTTCTTGATTATATTCACTGTTAATATCAGATATAATTATATCTGGACCAACAATATGAGGCAAAACATGATTATATAATTTAACAGATGGAACTGGTAATTGACTATCGATTTGAATTGGAGTTCGACAAATACCATCTTCAAACAAAAGAAAAATCATTAAGATTTTTTTTGAAAAGACAAATTTCACTACCTGTGGGCGAACGCGGATCACATTTAAGTTGAACAAGACGATTATGAATACTGTTATTATTTATTTTAGGTGGTGTACTATAAATATTTGAATTTAATTGATTTGTATAATGTTTTTTACTTGAACTTGTCGCGCCCATGATCTTTATTAGAAATAACTGTAGACGAGTCTAGATTTTTTTTTTCCGGCTACACAAAGGTTTAAACGCGCTCTATTGTTTCAAATGTATCGCTACAATCAATCAATAACAATTAAAACCTTCTTTTCGTTAAAAGGAAAAAAAGATTAGTTTTTTTTTAGAGAAAAAAATTTATTTAAATTTGAAAATTAAAATTATAATATTAAATCATTAATTTTCTATCACTGGTTAAAAGTTTCAACCAATCAAATAAACAAATGGTAAAGAACTCGTTGTTGTTTGTTTTTCTTCTTTTGTCTTGTGCTATTCTAGCATGTTTACGACTATTTCTGAAACAGTATTACGTCGGAAATAGACATAATACGTTTTATATTATAGATATGACGTCGAGAATACGGTGTTTTTTTGACATTAAAATTGATGGAACTGAAGGTTAAATTTATATTTACAGAAAAACCTTTATTACTATATTTTGTTGTTTTTATTTGCGATTATAGGTGGTCGAATTATATTTGAATTATATAATGATATATGTCCACGTACATGTGAGAATTTTCGTTGTTTATGTACAGGTAATAGAGAAAAAAAATCTTACATTGTTTTTCCTTTTTTTTTGATAAAAAACTATATTTATTTTAGGAGAAAAAGGTCGTAGTTTAACATTGTATAAAAAATTGTATTATAAAGGATGTTCATTTCATCGTGTTGTTAAAAATTTTATGATACAATCGGGTGATTTTACTGAAGGTAAAAGTGAATCTGGTTTTAAACATGAGGATTTTGACTTCTTTTTTTTGATTTTAAATTTTAATAATATATATATATTTTCTTTTTGCATTGATCAGCAAGATTGATTTTCAAGAAAACTTTCGGTTCATCTTTTCTGTGTATATACACAAATGACGAGTGATGGCAGGCAAAAGATACATATGAGGCCATCACTTGCATTATATTTTATCTCTTTTAGTCGAGTGTTGATAAATAACTAAGATGATCTGTGTTAATAATAATCGAATTTTTCTGTCTATGTGGTCTTTCAATTCCAGGCAACGGCACCGGCGGTGAATCGATCTATGGTGGTTCCTTTGCTGGTATGTTTATTGATTTAGTAGTAAAAAGAAAAAAAAAACGTTGTATTTTCCTTTCTAAGACGAAAACTTGCAAATGAAACATGATCGACCTTATCTTCTTTCAATGGCTAATCGAGGACCGAATACAAATGGATCACAATTCTTTATGTAAGAAAAAGAACTTAAAATTATAGTTATTTTTAATATTTTTTTTTTGTATTTTAGAACGACAGCTGAAGCCTCACATCTTGATGGGTAAATGTTTTTTGTTATTTAGCTAAAAAAAAACTCATCAAGCAGAACTTCTCAAGTTTAGTCGAAAAATGACACATTTTTTTTAAAGGTTAGCCGTTTTTGAATATAGGAGTTTGTCAATAAACATAAGAATATATTTCCAGCATCTTATTATGTTTCTAATTGATATGAGTCTTTTTTTTCTAAAAGATCGATAACAATTAATTCATTCAAAACTTTTTCAAACGAACTTTACGTTTAAACTATAATAATACGATACTTCAGTGCATAGTGTCACCTGATATGTAAGTCTGTTCTGTGTAAATCATTTTTTACTAAACCGGAAGAGTAGTCATTATTCAAAAAGATGAACTTCATTCTGTTAACATGCAACTGAATGCGATCTCAGCTGCCATTTTGAGATGACTCATGATGAATGAAGATCGGCCAATGTTCTGAATAAATGATGAGCAAAAAAGAATGACAAACAATAAAAAAATGCAAAAAAAAAGGAGAACAACAAATATATAAACGAACACATGCCTTAATAAAGATTAGTCAAAGAGTACAGTAGGGGCTAAAGTCTGTGTCTTAAATAATGAGTAAGTAAAGGAAGTACTATAACTAACGATAAATGAATCATAATATCAAACGGATTACTACGTATAAAAGAAACATGAGATAAACCATTGGTGATGTAAAATATATCTAAAGATTTAATAGTAAAAATTCGAACGAGTTATTTTGTTAGTTTTGAAATTTGAGTATATTTCATAGTATAAATTAAGTTCCATCGAATATCCACTGATTGGATGAAAATAGAGCATTATTCATTGATAAACAAAACATTTCTATTGATCTTGAAGTATTAATTCGTGCGAGATTTACATAAAAAAAAAACTACGACATCATAGAAAAAAAAATCTAGATTATATTAAATAGCTCTATTAGACTATATTTACCCACCAGACATCCGTTTAACCAACATAACACAATGTAATGAGCTAACTTAAATTAATGCTCTCATCTGTTATCAAGATTATAATGCGAAGAAGAAAAAAAAAACATAACACATTTCTATAATTCAGACTACATTCTAAAAGACAGATAAAATAGTTTGTGAACATACACGTATGATTGTGATCATATTTTCAAATTCTTTTCATTTATGAGCAGTGCACTAGCACTACAAGGCCGAGGAATTGTTTCTCGGCAAATTTTCCGCGCTTTCTATTTATACTAAAGTAAGACTACTTTATCCAACATTTGTATATATTCAATATAACTTCGTAGTTAATGTAGGCAGATTGACGTATAGTCATATGATTTTGTTTATCCTTATCTTGATGAATAGACTTGCTGTCTTGTATATCGAACATGTGATTATTTTAGGCTCCTCCCTCCTAACAAAAAAAAAAGTCAATTTTCATGACAATAATTGAAACTGAGATGATTACGCGAGATTTGATCTTTCATAAACGATATAGTTTTTTTCGACATCTTGTTTTTTTGATGATTTTTGTCGCGTTCTGCTCAGAAAATATGCTTTCATCTGATTGCACATCTCAAAATTTTCGAAGAAGTTTCATCGTAGGGTCCGTTTTTCGAATTAAGTTTTTCTATTATTATATAAATGCACTTCTAAAAATACATGACCAGTTTTCGAGGTATTGAACATATGATCCTTTTCCTTCTTACAATAATTAAGAAATTAAAAACAAAAGGGCACTACTGTTTGACATATTCTTTCAAATTAAAAAAGCGCTATAGCATACGAGCCTGCAGAGAATTTTCAGGTTGTTGATATGAACTATTTTTAACTCTTCTTTATTAAATATCTTCGGAAAACTTCCTGATATAGAGCTAAAACTTTTTAGTATAGCCTTTTCACTATAGCCTCAAGATATTCTGAAAATTTCATAAGATTTGAATGCTCCTTGTTCAAGGTCAATTTTTAAGGACAACGTCTTAAGTAATACACAACCGACATTTTGGATTCTCTCCTGCCGTATATATGCGATTTCCATATTTTACCACTATATCAGAACCAATAGCGTAATCTAATATTTAATTCCATTTCATTAAGATTCACTATATTATTCTTTACGACTTCGATGAAAATTGAAATCTGATTAACTAACACGTAACAAATGAAATATGATTGTTCATAATCTTTTTTCTTCTGTTTTTTTAACGATGAAAGTGACCTTGACCCTAGTGGTTTTTTTTTTAAAAATATTTATTATTTAGTTTTTCCTTTTTGATTCATAATCAAAATGTCTAAGTAAAGAAAAAACAAGTTTACCTATTTTTTCGCAATCTGTGAGTGAATCAACTAGCTGCTATTATTAAATAAAGTAATCTTGCGCACTACCCACGATTTCATTTCTTTGATAGTCATTGTTCAATTGTTTAAAACAAAAAGATTTTTTTTTTTTAGTAAACACGTTATTTTTGGCCATGTTGTTTCTGGCCAAGCAGTTGTCGATACTATTGAAAATCTTCCTGTTGATCCAAATAGTAGTCGTCCATTAAAAGATGCTGTTATAGCTCATTGTGGTCAATTAGAAATTGTCACAAGTAAGTTTATTAATATTTTTAAAAAATTGTTTAACGATAATATTTTTTTGTCGGTATTTAGAAAATAATAAATCAAAGAAACGTAAAATTTCAACTGGAGATGAAAGTGATAATGAAAATGTCGAAGAAAATAATAATGACGATGATGAAAGTAGTTCAACATCAGATAATGATGAAAAGAAAAAAAAATCTAAACATAATAAAAAAAGCAAAAAAAAAGAAAAACATCGACGAAAAAAAGAAACAAAACGTTTAGCAACAAAAACTGGTGAAAATAAAAATGATACTGATAGTAATGTCAATGATATATCTAAACGAACTATTACTAGTCTCAAATCAACTATTGATTCAGATGAAATATCCGAACAAAAATTGCCTACACGTTCTTCATTAAATGAAAAAGAAAAAGCCAACAATGATGAAACAATCAATAATGAAAGAACATCTCGGTATGAAACAAATTCTTTATCATATGTGGGGAGAGCATTCTAGTTCCCCTTTTTCTTCAGAAAACTTGATTTTCGTCAAAAAATGATACTTGAGATAGATATATGAACATGTTGCCTAATGTGTGTGTGTAAAGTCTTGATACAAAACTAGTCTTTGGTCTTTGATTTTAATATGCAGCCTTAATTTTTTTTATACCAAACAACAGTATAAATAGTAAAGTTTCAAAAATTAAGAATAGCAAGCTTCATAAGATCTTTGATCGATAATTTTTTTAGAATTGTTTAGGTATACCCGAAAATATAGTTTGTATAAGTTTCAGATCGATTTTTTTTGCGTTATTTTTTGTCTTCGGTTGATTAATATGCTTTTTTCATGGTTCCCTTCATATACCATGTCAAAGAATATTGACTAAACATCATAGGTATCCACAAGTCGGTTGTTTTTTTTTATAGTGTGCCCTGCACAACAGACACACTGTCTGGATACAATTTCTAATCTGATCCAAAAGCAAAAACCGTTCCTTACTATATCATAAAATATTATTTAAACCCATTTTACAATACTACTAGCTTAAGGTTCACCTTGTAGAATGTATGAGGATCAACAAAAGAAGTAAATAAAATACTTCACATAATTGAGATTCAAGAGCTTTACTGTGGCACTTTGAAAAAAAATTATCTGATTGAAGATGTGCTCTTGTTTCATTTAAGATCCAATTAACAGTAACAAATCTGTTTTTTATGGTAGTTGTTCTTGTAATATTATATAGAATAGATTGAGCATATTTCGAAAGAAAAGAAAATCTATTTTTTGGTGGTTTTGGTAGTTCTTTTTCAGGGCGTAAAGATCTTAACCTATTCTGTGAATACACCTTCTAAACATAAATCAAATCCAAATGATTTGGGTATGGTAAGCTTGATGAGAGGAATTCGCGTTTGAGTATTCAATTTTTAACGGAAATATCTTTGGAAACATTTGCGTTTTACAACAATGGAAAGTCTGTAACAAATAATTCAGTTGATTTAAATAGCATAATTTAACTCTCTTATTGAATAGTTACTGTCTAAAAATAACTTTCAGAAAGGAAAGTTCATTGAATTATGTAATAAAAAATATATATAAACAGATAACAAATAAAGTATATTACCAATACATTTGATAACATTTTCTTGCTACCTACATATATATGGGTCAAATCATTCGTTCGCGCCGTGACGAAATACAAATTTTTTAAATGAAGAAAAAAAGCTTTTATGACCAAATGAGAAGTTTAAAACCAGTGCCAAACGATAAAACTGCTTGCTGAAAGGCTCTACATGAAATTTACATTAAAACTTTTGTTTCACAACTTGATAGGATCTTTAGGAAACCGATTTTTAAGGAGAAGTTTTTTGGAAGAAAGATATTTGCTCATTATTGTTAATCATTAATCACCTGAAAGAACCCACACTTTTACTTATGTCTATGCTAAAAGAACTTATTCAGACAAATAACCCTTGTAGAGAATTAAAGGTGTGTATGTCCTGTTTTAAATGAAATAGCTCACATATAATGGTTACCAAAATTGGTCAATGAAGTTTCATTCATATGTCTATCCGATGTCTTGGTCGCTAAGAAGAATTCAAAGAATAACTCCAGTAGAAAACCTTGCTCATAACAAGAAGACGAAGAAATCAGAATGATTACCAAACATGAGGCAGCTAGAAAGCAACATCTCATTCTTTTCAACATTGAAAACATGTAAATATAATCCAAATAATGCTATAAAAAATGATAGAAGAAACAATTTCTTACCAAACAAGACCTTTTAAACTTTCCTACGACATTTTTTAGCTGAAATACAGCAATCTTACGAAAGCCGTTATGGTTTTTGTTTTCTACTATTTCTTATGGACATACCATTTTTATGTTTTCAAACGGAGTCTTATATCTCATTCAAAAGAACGTCTCATTTTGTAAACATTCATTTTCTCTATCGTTCAATATAGCCTGAATAGAGCTACATGATCATGTTCTACATGCTGAAAAACTGAGGAGATGTTATTCTAGAAACTTCATATTCATAAATCATCTTTATTTCTTTATATTATTCTTTGAGACAATCTTCTCTACTTGGATATTTAACTGGATTTTTCTTAGCGATTAAGACAGCAAAAAAAGATTTGAAAATAAATCTTTTTGCTCAATATTAGTTGCTAGCATTTATATTAAAAAGGTAAAAAAGTCATAAATATGTTAAATAAAAACAGATGATTCTTTTAATGATGTAAAAAGTCTTTGAAATAAATAAAAATTTTGATTGTTAGAACAAATAGTTATCGTGCAGCTACAAAAGTTGATTCGAATGGTCGTCCAGTAAAAGGTCGTGGCACAATGGTAAGATTCGAATTTTTTGTTGCTTTTTATAAATTAATTCTATTCTAGAGATATACTGGAAAGAGTCGTTCAAGATCACGTACACCACCACATTGGCGTTCAGCAGCTGAAGAACGTAAACGTTTTGTTGAAATGAATGAGTCACGTAAACAAACATCTGCTGAACAAACAAGTCCAAATGAAAATACAGATACATTAACACAATCATCTGAACAATTAAATGCACGTGAGAATTCAAAACGTAATCGTTCATATTTAAAAAACGATGATGCCAGTGATGATCAAGAAAATACAACGATTAATAATGAAGAACAAGTATCAAAAGATTCAAATAAACGTTCACGACGTTATGATAAACGACGAGAAAATATTGATGATGATAATGATGAACAAATACAACCAACTATACAAAGTAGTATTGTTCGTGCTGAACCCAAAGAACGTGAACAACGACGTTCATCACCAACACGACAACGACGGGAACATCGTAATGAATCAAAACATCATCGATCAACAAGTAATAAACATGATGAAAATGAAAAATCAAATGATAAACATGGTAAATACCCATTCAAAATCAACTTTTTTCTTTGTTTTTCATATATATCATTGTTTTTGTTCTCAATTTTTAGTTCAAAATAATTCTTCACCAGTACGTCCTAGACGTGATCATGATGAATCTCACACGAATCGTCGTCGTCGTTCTCAAACACCACCACCACCATCATCGTCATCAGCATCTCGTATTCGATCACCACTAAATGATAATAGAAACGAGTCTTTCGATGATTCTACAGTAACATCATCTAAAATGGATCAACAAGGAGATACGACTAATGTTCTGTCGACATTACACTCTAGTTCATCACCACCAGCATCCCAACCATCTGCATCTTCGTCTGGAAAACGACGTAATCGCTGGGCAAATGAGGAAAACTTTAATGAAAGACAAACAACAGCACAAGATACTAGTCTTGAAGAGGAATTACGTATGATTGCACAAACAACTACAGTACAAATCGAATCCATAACACAATCGAATGACATTCCACAACAATCAACAGAATCAATAGTAACAGAGACAGAAACAACTGTTAGTAAATCAAAATGGGATGATGATGATGATGATGAAGAAATGATCACCGATTCAGTTAAACAAAACCAAATTCAATCGGAACCGTAAGTTAAATTTTTTCTATGGAAAAAAAAACAAATTGTTAACGCAATTTCTGCAGAATTAACATGTAAAACACGATATAGCTACTCTTATTAATCACAAGAAACTTCTTATTTTCAGATACATTTCTTCTCGGTCCTTTTACCTAATTTGCCAGAAATTGAATAAGACCGTAGTTCATTTATTATAAGAAGATGTTATTGGTATAGAGTTTCTGTTTGTATATCAACAACGTCTGTAGTGCAGAGGAACTACGTTGTTCGTCATATATGCATAGGTACTGAGTTCAAACGTGGATACCATTCGTCATGGAGTGACACTGAACAAGTCGTTAACAGCTGCTTGTCTCGGATCAATCGTCTGATAGCATGCTGACTTCGTAGTGACATACACATGCACTCGTAGCTAGTATGTTGTGAGTCATTATGTATGGAAAACGTCGACCATTGAGCACGAGAACTCTGCGTTAGACCAATCTTCTGTTCAGTGCTTTAGCTTGTATTAGTTTCAGGAAAGATACCAGGCTAATGAATTTGCCACTAGGCAGCATATCATATCACAAGGTAGCCGGAAGATAGGATTATTCTTCCTTTTCTGTTATGATTTAAGATGCTTTCTAATTAGCGTCTGTGAGGATTCAAAGTTTTTACCCATATACTTCAGTACTGAGTTTAGATCGTGTTTCATAAAATACAATGTTCTTTTTTTTTATTGATTCTAATCTATTTTTATAGTTCACCAAAAGAGAAAGCGCCTAGCCCGATAGTAAATACTTCTGTCGAAACTGCATCAAATGTTGAAACGTCTCATGAACACCGATCGTCAATAACGATACTAACAGATAAACAACAAGATAAAACAATTTCACAAACTGAACAATCATCATCAAGTCATAGTCGAAAAGAGAAAGATTCTTCTAATCGAGAACGTCGACAACGACAAACATCCAGTCATGAACGTGATCGTGAACGTGATCGTGATCGTGAACATGATCGGAATCGTGAACATGATCGGAATCGTGAACATGATCGTGAACGTGATCGTGAACATGATCGTGAACGTGATCGTGAGCGAGATCGTCATCGTCGTACATCTAGTCGTGATCGTCATCCTTATTCATCTTCACATAGTCGTTATCGTAATTATGGTGAAAGAGATGATTATTATCGTCGACGAAATTATGATGATCGATATAGTTCTAGTCATCGTCGACGATATTCACCACCAGCATCATCTCGAAGTCGATACTATGATCGAGTTGATCGATATCGAGGTAAACATATTTTTAAACAAATATAACAAATAAATTTTAATTTTAAATTTTTTTTTTCTAGGACGTGATCGTGATTATTATGATAGAGATCGTCGACGAAATGATGATCGTGATCGTCATCGTTCATCTCGTGATAAAAATACTCGTCCATCACAATCAAAATCATCTAATCGTGAAAAAGACCGAAAGAGATCATCGAGTTCATCATCAAATTCATCTTCTTCATCTGGTTCATCATCACGTTCATCATCATCATCAAATTCTTCATCTTCTTCCTCCTCCTCATCATCAAGTTCATCATCAAGTAGTTCAACTGAATCGTAAGTGATCTCATTTTATACTATTGATATATTTTTCTATATATATATATATATAGAGAAGCACAATCTGGACAACATGAACGTGTTCCAACTCCACCAGCACGAAAACGTTTACCTACGCCACCAAATCCCGAAGACGAACATATTTTTGTATCATTACAAACTGTGAAACCGCGTGAACCACTCGAACGAAAACAAATTAAAATTGAATTAGCAAAATCTGTACCCTTACCACCTTCAACATCACCAGGTGAACTTAATCATTTAGATTTTTCCATCAAAAACAAGTTTCTTTTTTCATTTAAATAGCTCGACCATCGCCACCACCACCTCTACCACTCTATGATCCTGAAGAAGATGAAGAATCCTCAAATACAGCGACACATTCACAAGATCGTATTGGTGAACATGAAGATATGGAACTTGATGATCTTGATGAACCACAACCGACATCAACAGATGAATTAACTTCATCAACTACTTTTATAGAAGAACAAACAGTGCAAACAACAACAACACCACCCCCACCCCCACCAGCACCATCGGTTTCTTCACTTTATGATGATGCTGATGAAGAAGATCCAAGTATTCCAACAGAAAGTAATCAGGTAAAGTATAAGTCGAACTATGCGAAATTTCACTCATTTTTTCTCATAATAACGAAGGTAGCGAAAGCAAACGATTATTGGGTATGTTTCCATAGCAACCAAGGACAGCAGACGTCTGACTTCCTTTCCAAAGTTTTCTGATAACGAAAAATGACATAAACAACAGAACTTAGACTGTTCTAGAAAATTTCAAAGTCTTACTCGAAATTTGAATGGTTAGAATAACCTTACGAATCTATTTTTACGTAGATATAAGTTTATAGTCAAGATGTCAATGATGGTGTATTGATTTGCTAGTCTTCATAGGATGAATATAAAAGATGGAAACTGATCAAGTTATTATTTGGAGAAATAATAAATATCAGTGTTTCTGAAGCTTATCAAGACATATGATAATATAGTGAGACTTGTTTACCACGTGCTTATTTACAAGCTAAAGTAATTGTTAGAATAACAATAAAAATGTTAAAGAACTTGAAAAAATAATTATAGTCTGTTAGAAATTGTCGATTCTATGCGTTTTGTATTAATGCTCGTTTCAAAAAAAAAGACCATATCGTATTGAATCATATATTATAGATTTTTCTAAGATAGTTTCTGAAGTTCTTGTTAGTCAAATTAATTTTTTAAAAATTGTCGGAAAAATGGTTTCTTTTAACATGAGAATAAAAACTGAAATAGAATCCTTTTCACAATAATTGCTGGAAGAGTCGGCTCGAAATTTCGACTAGAATACTTGTGATTCTTGAATAACTAAATCTGAGGCTTATATAGTTTTGTAGATCTGCCATTGACAGTTTGGATGCACACCCGATAATTAAAAAGTTATTCTAGTTACCCTACACGGGTACATTGCTTTTCAAAAAAGGTTGATAAAACACTTCAAAAAAAACTAGCGAAAAAAATCTTGAAGTATACAATTTAATGCATCTTCAGCTTTTCTTTCTAAAAATGGAAACAACAACTCTCTATGTTGTTTCTGTCAAAAACTATTAAAACAATAGCCATCCGCATTTTTCTTTTCAAATTGTCATTAGTACAATGATGGGCAAGAATACATATGAGTTCCATATTTGACACTAAGAAGTTTTAAGTTTTTTTTAATTATATTTTAGGAACAAAGTAATGATACCAATCCAATGCCACCAATAGTAAATTCAACGACTGAAACAATCGTTGAAGAAAAACCATCAAAAAAAGCTAAACATCGATCAAGTAAAATAAAAAACAAACGAAACATTACAGAAAACAATTTATTTGCTTTTTTCTTTTGTTTTCTGTTTAGCATCGCGTTCATCTTCTTCAACTTCATCATCTGGTAGTGATACGAGTAGTTCAACATCGTCTTCATCTGGTTCATCATCATCATCGTCATCATCACGTTCATCATCATCTCATTCGCATAAAAAACGTGAATCTGCATCATCACAGTAATAATCACATCAATGTTTCTTTTCTTTTAATAAATAATTTTCTAATTGTCTAGTCATCGTCATCATCAAAATGGTAACCATAGTTCAAATTCCAATTATAAATCACGACGTCGTTGAAATTTTTTCTGTCTTTTTTTCTTTTTTTTTTGTTACACACAGACATTCATGTGTATGTTTTTTTTTTCATTTTGTTCACTATTCTTCATCTTATTCTTTCTTTCTTTCTTTTTTTTTTAACCTAGTCTAACTTCTTCTTCTTTTGTTTCTTCGTTTGTTTGTATGTAAACACATCAAAAACAAAAAAAATAAATGATGAATGTTTGTTCTTTTTTCTTTTTCCAGATTATCATACACATGATTGATCCAACAACAACAACAACCATAAATGATACAGGCGGTGGTGGTGGCGACGGTGGCAATAGCCATACATCAAATAGAAATACGAATCCATTTATACGTCCAAGAATATTATTAACCGGTTTACGTCGTTCAGGTAAAACATCAATACAACGTGTTATATTTACAAAAATGCAACCATCACAAACACAATTTCTTGAATCAACACCACATTTAACATTAAATCAATTTTCATGTGGCTCATTTATTAATTTTCAAGTACAAGAATTGCCCGGTCAATTACCATTATTTTCATCAGGACCTAATAGTGGTAGTGGAGGAAATCATGTTCAAGCATCATCTTATGATGATGATTCAATGACAAATATAATGGGTGGTAATTATGATTTAGAACGTTTATTAAAACGTTGTAATGCTGTTGTATATATAATTGATGCTCAAGATGATTATACTGAATCAATATCACGTCTAAATACAATTATACAAAAAGGTAGACGAATTAATCCTCGAATACGATATGAAATATTTATACACAAAGTTGATCAATTATCTGAAGAAGCTAAAATAGAAACACAACGAGATATTCATAATCAGGTATTAATATTCAATTAATCAAATATGTTTTCCTTCTTTTTAAATGTATTGCAATATTTTTCATTAAAGTTGTATAAACAATGATTTATCAGAGAAAGAAAAAAGAAATAACTCTTCATTTAAAATCCATGATGGACTTTTTCTTTTATGTCAAAGATGTTTCAAATCATTATAATAATTCAGAAGAATATTGTTTGCTTCTGATTATGACAATAGATATATTTCAATCGTTAGAAGAAAGCTCGAAAAGTTTCAGGTCAAAAATAACTTTTTATTCTTGAGATGTTGAATATCTGAAGAAACAAACATCTCATGTCACAAGATATACATCAAATATCAAGCATCTTTAACATTCGAATAAAGTATTCTTTCAAGCTGAAACTTGTAGAACTTTTTATTGACAATAAGATCCATCTATGAACAAGGTTTCATAGTGTAATCTATTCATATACGCCTTACCAGAGATCAAAAAATTTCAGTAAACGATTAGAACTCGAAACGAATAGCATATTAGAATGAATAATTTCAGACTTCTTCCAATTCCATCGAACTTTACAAACCAGTATAGATTAAATTTAAAATACAGTGTAACACTTGAACATTTTTCTTTGTTACTGATCTTCCATTGAATCTCATTTAAAATTTGTACAATTAGGAAAAAAAAAATAAATTTTCTTTGTAGAAATAAAATAAAAAGATCAATGACTAGAGCCCATCGGACCCACAATTTTTGGATCCGAGACTAATCCGACGAGATCTAGAAACGAAGTCGACTAATAGATAATATTCTTTAATCGGTAGGGTTCATTTAAATTAAATCGATAAAATCTACATTGAGTAAAGCTATTCGAGACAATAGAAACAAATTATGTTTGTGTATATGATTTTTGCATGCAAACGAAATAAATTATAAGTTTAAATATAATTCTATTTAGGTACGAGATCGTTTTGCTGATCCTATTAGTGGAGTAGATTCCTGGTCGCCAACATCCCATATGTCTAATTCAAATTCTCAAGATATTCTAATAAATTTTCATTTAACATCCATATTTGATCATTCAATATTTGAAGCATTTTCAAAAGTAATACAAAAATTAATCCCACAATTTGCCCATTTAGAACGTTTGCTCAATTATTTATTATCAACATCGAATATTGAACAAGCATTTTTATTCGATGTTCAAACTAAAATAAGTATTGCAACTGATTCATCACCCACCGATATGCAAGTAAGTTAAATTTACATAAATAAAGCAGAACAAATTGAATGTATATTGTTTGTTTTTAAAGATGTACGAATTATGCTGTGACATGATTGATTTATTAATAAATATGAGTGAAATATACGGACAACCAAGTGAAAATAATATGCGAAGATTAACTGATGATGACGATGAAGATGAAGATGAATATCTTAATGAAGAATATGAAAATAATCAGGGTGATAATACTGAACAACAGGAATGGAATCTTGTAGCTCAAAATGAGGATTATAATGAGAATAATATTCAAATAAATGGTTCAAGAAAAAATTCATATTTAAATAGTAAATATATAAATTTAGAGAAAAAAAAATGCAAAGAGAAAAAATTTTTCTTCTTCTTTTACTTAGGTCCTTTAGGTACACCACCAGTTATGAATCATCAACCGTCAACATTACTTGAAACAACAAATGAACCAGCATCAGCTGTGTTTGATTCAATGTCATCCAGTATTATTAAATTAACCGGTGGTCGAGCACTTTATCTCAAAGAAATAAATCGTCATTTAGCATTAATATGTATTTTACGTGAAGAAGCACTTACAAAACAAGCTCTTATTGATTATAATGTCAGACAATTAAAAAAGTCTATTATAAAATTATTTCGTTTAAACTATCAACTATCTCGACCTCTTATTTCATCATCGAACATAGTTGAATAAAAAAAATCTTTTATTCATGTTTCCTTTGTTTTTTTCTAATCCCTAACCCCGCCAATGTTTCAGGAATGCATGTTTGTGTTTATTGTTGTTCATGTTCTTGCTGTTGCTATATCATAAGAAGTCCTATCATCTTTTCTATTTGCATGCGATAGCATTCTTGCATATGCTTATAAATAAAAATATATATCTACTTGCACAACGATGATAGTGTATTGTCCATTTTTTTGGATCGACAAAACACTGTCGTGTTTTTTTCTCGTTTTTTTTACCTTTTTCCTTTTTTTTCTCTCTGCGCATTGGCACAAACAGTGAATTATCTGTTCGATTTTCTTTCTTGTTTTTCTTCTATGTAATTCTTTAGTGCGCGTTTGTGCGACAAAGCGTTTTTTTTCTTCTGTTTTTTTGTCACATACATACATTTGTCCTGTTTGTTTTTTTGTGCGCGGATGGATTTCGTTTATTAAAAAGGATTAACAAACAAATAGTACAAATCAGGAATCGTTCTTCTTTTGATATAACAAAGATGTCAAGAAGAAATCTAAAAGATTTTCGTAGTTTTCGAATTAGTCTGTATTCATTAAAGTATTGTGACTATTGTTTATTGATAACCTATAGTGCGAAAATCTTGGCACAAAGTGTTCACTTATTTTTAAGACACTAAAAGACAACTGGCTAGAGCCAGAATCAAAAATTTTCGCCGTTTCCGAGTATAGGAACGGATTTCCCTTATGGAGTAAGTTTGAACAACTATCAGTAAAGGAACCACAGAATTTAGTGATCTATCGTGAGCTAGGATTCCATATATGTAATTTTGTGAAGCAATTTATGGTGCATCGAATGGTATATAGGAAGTCAAGTTTTATGCAAATTTTGTTGAGTTGAAAGTCCGTACACTGGTTATAATCCTTGAGAAATATATATAATACACATGAACATTGTGATTTCTAAGACATATTTATGCAAACTTTGTTTTTTCAACTCCATTCAATACAGTTATATGTGCTCTTCAATTTTCTAGCATCAATAGTTTTCATTGTTGCTTTCTTCGTGCTTAAAAATGGTCCTTTTTTTTAGATCGAGATTATTTCTTGACTATATGCAGTGTGCTTAACTCTATGCCACTGACAAGTCAATAGTAATATGGAGCTTTCTCAAAAATTACAAAGCAACGAGCTGTATATGTTTCATAGATAAAATTTCTCGAAACAACTGGGACTCAATGTCAACTTGCCAGAGTGTCCCTTAGAGTAGTCTATTTTCCATATGAAAGGACCGGTATATTGATGATTGTCTAACGCTGCTCAATGGTTCCATTAAAAGTCTTTATGTACCAATAATCAGCACAGTTTCTCAGACAAACTGATATAAATAGTTTCCTCATGAACGCAAAAATAGTTTTTGTGGTCTTTGAACCATGGAGAAGGACAACGAAATATATGTACGGTAAGGAGATCTTCACATTATTATAATTTTTTTCAAATTTGTATTCTGGGTGTCCGTGTTTGATTTATGCATAAAACTCTAGAAGAATCTATAAATATCTTACGATTGTTTCAAAAATAAAGTTATCCATATCTTCGTCTTTTCCTGCAGCAATCCAGAGGTCCAAATAAAATTTTTCGTTTATAAAAAGGAGTTATTTATATCATTTCATCATAGGTGTTGTTTTGATTATTGGTATTTACAAGTTTTCAATAGAACCGTTGAGTATTGTTAAAGTATCGTCAATATACCGATCACTTCATATAGGAAAATAGACTACTCTTAGGAACATTCTTGCAAGTTTACAAATAGTGCATGTTGTTCCGAGTAGCCTTATCTATGATACACATACAGCTTGATACTTTGAAATGTTTGATAAAGTCTCATGTTGCTACTCACTTATTCTGTGGCACAAAATTAGGCACATTACCTATAGTAAAGAAATAACCTAGATCTAAGAAAAAGAACAAATTTATGAGTATGAAGAAAGCAATGATGAAAACTATTGATTGTAGAAAATTGAAGAACGAACATAACTGTATTGAATCGAATTGAAAAACGAAGTTCGGAGAACTATATCTTAGGAACCACAATGTCTATGTATATCATATATATTTCTCAATGATTGTAATCAGTATATGAACTCTCATCACATCAAAATTAGATAAAAACTTGGTTTCTGGTGCACAATTCAATGCAACGCAAACTGCTCTACAAAATTGTATATATCACATCGTGGCTCAAGATAGTTTATCCAATTC